TTCTATTGAACGTATATCTATTTAGTGTTATTAACAGTATCACAATGATTAACCCTTCGTTCTTTAGTTTTACTGTTGCTGTTCTCGAGTATTTAAAAAGTGTCATTGCTGTGTTCAATCTTGTATGATTATTATCTAATGTTCATGCGTGCGCATCATGTTCTCAATTATTACTTTTGTTTTGTTCCAATGCAATCGTTATTCTTTTTTTCTTTTGGTCCTTTAAACTTGTCTTATTTCGTTGTGGTTTCTGTGAATGTATGTGTTTATGTGCTGCTCTCCTGCATAGACCCAATTAAGGTCTTCAGTATTGTGTAAATAAATAAATAAAACAAATAATATGCCAACTTTGGTATTACGTGACGCCAATGGATGACGAAGCTATGGGACTGGTGCAAACATGATAATCATGAGATGCGTGCCATGTGAGAACATGACTACTTGCCACAGTCAAGCCGCCAATACATTTCCACGTGTACACGGTGCGCGGGCTCGCCGGCGTTCATTTCGTCGCGTCATGCATGCTGGCGTTGCCACGCCAGGCGCCGGTCCTGCCATATATTCGCAGGCGTGCGCCGCGCTGCGTTGCTTTGACGCATGCGCCTTTGAGCGCGTCCGGCGTCCCTCTGTCACGAAAAGAGGGAATCGCAGTGTTGCCTGGGTAACGCATCCACGCGAAATGCAGCATGGTGCATTTCGCGCCGGTTGCCATGGGGCTGCGTCGACGGACGCTGGTCGCGTATGGCGTCAGACTATACTCGCGTTTTGCTCACGTAGCGTTACTGTACCCGGCGTGCGCGCGCGTCAACACTACATTGAAGTATATTGGGCCCTTCATGATGCGCTCGTGGCCATTTTGCTAGCTCCACATATAGCAAACTTGGTGTTACGTGACATCAATGGATGACAAAATATGTGACTGGTGCAAACATGACAATCCTGACACGCGTGTCGTGTAAGAACATGACAATATACCACGCTCATAGCATGCTCGCGACCGTTTCGCTTGATCAACATGTACTACATTTGGTATCACGCGACGTGAATAGATGACGAAGGCAGACGACACATCCAAACATGATAATCATGACACTGAAGTCATGTATGGCACCATTTAGCTCCACCTCGTAACGTTGTGCTGTTTTTAAAGTGACATATCAACATTTCTCATTCGTGCTTTGCATATCATTGAATCCCACTGTACTTGGGATCTGCCAATTTTTTTAAATAAAAAAAAAATCGCTTGCTGACGCTGCCTGCATCGGCGTTGTAAGGCAAGAGATGGGGTAGCGTTGGAGAAGTCTCACAGGGGACGTACATACGCAGTAGAGTGCAGACGCCGCCAGATCAAGCTCCTCATAAGATGCTTGGCTTCTAAAATAGGACTAGTAGTCTACGTTACCGGCGGATCTTAAGAAATTCATTAAAAATTCATTGTTCCTCAGAGCACCGAAACCGCACTTTATCAGGACATTGATGAGACAGAATTATTGATTGATTGATTTGTGGGGTTTAACGTTCCAAAACCACCATATGTATATGAGAGACGCCGTAGTGGAGGGCTCCGGAAATTTTGACCACCTGGGGTTCTTTAACGTGCACCCAAATCTGAGTGCACGGGCCTACAACATTTCCGCCTTCATCGGAAATGCAGCCGCCACAGCCGAGATTCGAACCCGCGACCTGCGGGATGAGACAGAATTATACTGAAGAGCCTTCGCTAAGCACCATTCTCGCAATGAGAAATCTACGAAAGCTAGAGGATTGTACGTAGAAGTGTGTTGCGAAGAAATAATCATACTATTTCAATTGTGCTCATTTGTTGAAGCACCCAACAAGCCCACCCAACGATAATATTTCCTTCCTTCTACTTTGCTGCAGCACCCAACAACCACACCTAAATATCATAATATTTTCGTTGATCTCATTTTTTGAAGCATCAACGAACCACAACCAAGGATCACACCATTTTTGTTGTGCTCTTTTGTTGAAGCAGCCAACAAGCACACCCAACAATAACATTTCCTTTCTTCTAATTTATTGCAGCATTGAACAACCGCACCTAACAATCATAATATTTACCTTGAGCTCATTTATTGAAGAATCAAACAACCACAACCAACGATCACACCCTTTTTGTTGTGCTCATTTGTTGAAGCACCGAACAACCGCTTTAACGGCAACAAAAAAGTTGCAAGGACACGTTGACTGTCAGCGTGCCAAGGTTTCACGTTCCTTCTACGTTCGCATGTAAAGTTGTGTTGTAGATGAAACTATTAAATGAGACGTGATTCAAGTAGACCAAGATACTCCAGCGCTCCGGATTGGATAGTTTTTCACCCGGTCCCTGCATTGCATCATCAGCGGCAAGCGTAATCGCCAACTTAATGTCATTTTGGTAGACCACGAGATTCACCTGGAGAAGGGTCACTCTATAGGCAGTCGTCCCAGTGATCACTGTTCAGCACTACACTGAAAGTCGGCGATCTTCTTGAGGATATGGCTTAGTCTGTGAACGCAAGGGCCGGCAAGACTTGTTGTCTTGCCTGTCGGCGGCCTTATCTATAGAGATAACTGAAATACAAGGCCTGAAGACTGTGTTTTCGACTCCCAAAAAGGTTTCAATGACGGGCCGCTGGGTAAACAAGGACCGGAAAGAAAAAGAAAACCCGTGAAAAGAGGCACCGCACGCAATACGTGCCATGCCAGCAGGGTGTCGCGTACCGCGCTCTCTTATAATGCGGCGGTGCTTACACCAGCCAAACTGGTCGATACCTTAATAGGCGAACAAGAGAACATGCTGCCCCTTTGAAGACAGCAGCACCGTGTGGGCGCCTAGCAGCCCATCGTAGGGACTGCGCGTGACAGGCCCATTTTGACCACGTCTCCTTCATTTCAAAACAAAAAGGCACTAAGCTTAAATGGGATATAAAAGAAGCTACAGAAACTGAGAAAGAAGAGAGGACGTGCGCCACTGCAGCGTCAGTGATTCTGTCAAAGAAATGAATCTTATGTGTCTTTTTCTTGTAAAGTATACAAGTTCATGGAAGAGGCGCCTGGGGACAACCACTGTCAGGTACTTTTTGGTGACTGTGTGCGTTTGAATATATTTTCAGGTGCGCGCACACAAATGGATGTTCAGGTGTCGGAGCAGTGACATTCGTGCCTGGCGTCTCTTTGTCCCTCGTATCAAATTCCACAGCTGAAAACTGTAGGTTAGCCATGAACCAACTAGCTGTGGTCGATGCCGGTTTAACCTAAAAGTAGGCTAAAGCAGCAACCCTAGCATCGCCTAGCTAAAGCCTATAGCAACAACCTAAAATCACCCAGATTAGACTTTATAATCGTCAAGTTTTGCTGTTTCAGGCCTTGAGTCACTTAGTGTAGGCTTCACCATTTTTTTACAGCGAACGCTGTTGTGAGCTCACATTACAGTTGTCCGCTGTCACCACTAGTGTCGATAACTACTATAGCACAGAATAGGAAAAACAATTCAGTAAACAAAAACACCAATGACATAACGCGATTCGAACCTAGGTTCGCTACGTGCCAGCCCAATACTCGATACACTGAGCCACGCTGCTGCTTAGAACTCGTTTGCAAACTGGCCTTATAGGCAAGCTTCATGTCTGAAAGAAACTGCGTTTATGTGAGCAATACAGCGTGTAGAAACAGGAAAAAATAACCACGCGTCAAATCATGCGAATTGCATAACGAGTGGGTCGTCCAATGCTCCAACCTATTACAAAAGCTTGTTCACGAACACCCATTCACTATGGCGCACTCCCACTTCTGGCATAATTCTTTACTGCTGTCAGCCACTGCATCAAAAATTTGCACAAAGTTACTTGCAAGTGTGCAGTGGATACCCCGCTTCTGTTTAGAAAAAAATATTGTCACAAACGTCAATAACACTCAACAGAATATTTCATTCCTAGACATATACTCTAATGATGATGACAAAACAGACGTCATTTACATGAACATGGATATGCTTCTTCGAAGAATGAAGAAGGATAGCATAGTGAATGTCGGCCTAGTGCACAAAAATATGATTATTTATAGCGTAGTGGGTACACAGCAAGTTTGCTCAAAGCAGTTACCCAAAGAGTGTTTAGAGAAGGCTCTGAAAAGCCACTCTTCCAGCTTTAGGTGACTGTACTTTGCGTTCCACACAGGCCTGGCGTTTTTTTTTTATTCAAATATGGCCGCACCCTATCTTATAATGCTTTCAATCCTTGAGTCATATACAAAAGTGCACGTTATCACCTAATTACAATATTCTTTCCTCACCTCCTTTATTATAGGCTCATACTCCAAGGCGACTATCTATTAGTGTTATAAATGTACGAAGTGCGCAATTTTGTGCTTTTAAATAAGAATAATAAATAAACGACATTTTTTTCAAGAAGGAAGGTTACTTATTTTCTGTATATTTGAAACACTTCTTCACCATGAGCTGGTAGGATACTTAGAATTAGGTTAAACTTTACACAGTAAGCTTGAAAGAGTGTTGAGCCTATGTGAGCAATAAAAAGAAAAAAAAAGTATCAGGCACGTCATTTTCAATGAATCACCATGAGCATGCAGTGATGCGCTGTCCGACGGACACGTCATTATTGAGAACCTCGCAGTTATATGAACGATTGATACAAGTGAGGCACCCTTGCATGGCGCAGAAAAACACATCTATTTACTGTTTCACTCATTATCACCTTCGGTTTTTGTTGGGGAGAGCTATTCATCTGATGAAGCCTGCTTTAACACTCAATGAGTCGTTATCAGAAGGTTATTCTGCAAACTCAGCAAACAGCTGCGATAGGCGTTTGAGTCAGGTGGTTTCTATATACCGACATGTATAGTTCCGCATTGAGCATGACGTGTACTGCCGATGGCAGTAGAAGGAGGAAGAAAGGCAGAAAAAGCTGGGGAGCCATTCACATGTGCGTTCAGTTTGCAGCATCCTGATAAAGCAAGTAAATTAGTGGATGAAAATGAAAGATAAGAGTGCCGTTATAAGTGGAAGGCCGCGCCGGCATTGACAGTTCGCATTAGGCCACGCAGCTGCCGTCATTCGTAGGTCATACTCCGCTCTCGCTATACCTCGGAGAATCGATCGAAACGCGCCAGAACAGAATGTCGGGTACACCAGCCACCCAAAGGAATCAACCGCACAGCGGCATCCATCCCAATGCGTCACTTCCTGCTACTGAGATGACTGGCATCGTCACTTCCGGGCCCTATCACCGGGCCATCAAACCCGGTACCTTCAGCACCACCTTTGAGTTTCGCGACGTTCCGTCCAAACTGCGCGAGTCCCTGGTATCACGGAAGACCGTGGAGACAATAGAGGCTGAAGTCATCAAAATTGGTGGATACGCCGTCGGCCTGGAAAGCGAGTTCAGAGAAGACGATGAAGGCGCCATCAATGCGACTTTCATTCCGTACCTACGTGGCAGCAACGTGGAGAGGGACCTGGACTGGCTATCAAATAAAAAGCTCACAGTAATCCTTACCCATCCTCACCGCCAGGAGAATGACATCGAGCTGCCGGTTGCCATGGGCGACGAAGGCCGTCTTGTGAAGCATGTGCGACCAGACTGTTGGGTCGAGGGCCGCCGTAGTGAGCCAGTAAGCTGGTATGAATTGGAAAACAAGGGACATGCGTTCGGCGATACCTTGTACGTGACGCTCCAGCTGGAGTAACGAGGTTCGTCTGCTCTGTACGCGCCATGTTTTATGGCGGTTTCATTCGCAGATAATGTTAACTATGACTGGCAAGGCATAACAAAGCACACACAGTGGTTATTGCCTGCGTAACTGTTTTGAGATGCGCCATAAAAATATTTAAAAGAACTATTAGGCGCTCAATACGATTCAATGATTGTAATGTACCGGGTGTTCAAAATTAAGCTTTATGATTTTTTTAAAATTAGGCGCTCGAAGGCACGTGAGAACCACTTGTGCAAATAAGTTAAGCGGCCAGGGGGACAGAAAGTTAGATGATAATTATCGCTGTCAGCAGCCCAATTAACTAAAATTTAATAATTAACTTTTTACTGGCTGCGGTAAGTTGGCATGTTTATATTGAAAAAATGTAGGCAGTGGTGTTTGTACACAGTTTCAGTTGGAAGATTTTTTGTAGCACGCCTGTGTTCCGAGATATCCGGCTCCAAAGTTTAATTGTCTTTCGCACGATTACGCATGCAAGAGGGTGAGGGTCCGCGCAAAGCTCCTCCCTAAAGTGACGCATCTGTTGCGTGTGGTGTTTAGTGTGTGAAGAGGGTGGAAGCGTAGGCATAGGTGATAGCAATTACCCTTGCCCTCTTCGGCCGTCGAAATCAAAAATCGAAGAACGCTTGCAACCAGTGTCGTAACACGCAACTGCAGAGCCTCTAACGATAGTGGCAGATACCATGCCGAGATAATGGTGCGAGCGGAGAATCTGGATGCCAGTGCGCGTGCGTAATAATCACTAGAGAAGCATGCGTGGTCGTTGCCTGGGCTACGCGAATAGCGTGACTGCTGATGTCCGAGTACTGTAACTTTTATTGAAACAAGAGCAACAACTCCACCAATAATAACTGAAACAGTTTTATCCTTGCTAACGCATATTTCCTGCTGCTACATAAGCATATTTCGGTCATGCACAAATCTCATCGAAACTCTTCACCTCTCAAGACGTCAATGCCCCAAAAAGTGTTCAAAATGCCTGCCTTCGGCAGCAACGCAAAGCATGAACCGCTGTCGCGTCGACTCGATGACTCGGCGCAGTACTTCTGCAGGAATACTCGCACAGGCAGATGTTATCCTGTCCTTCATGTCATTAACATCGCTGGGCTCTGTTACGTAAACTCGATCTTTAACGTAGCCCCAAAGGAAAAAGTCGAGCGGAGAAAGGTCAGGTGATCTTGGTGGCCAAAACATCGCTCCTGCGCGCCCAATCCACTGTTGTGGAAAACGTCTGTCCAACCAGTTCTTCGCCCTGGTAGAAAAATGTGGTGGTGCTCCATCGTGCTGAAACCATACTTGGCGCAGGTCATTCAGGGAAAGACTGCAGACAAGATCATCAATGACAACACCTAATATTTCTTCTGTGTACATCTTTCCGTTCAAGTTGTCCTCAAAAAAGTGAGGTCCGATGATCCTGTCCCCGAGTATGCCGCACCACACATTCACACTCCAGCGAACTTGATGCTTGTGCTGCCTCAGCCAGTGTGGGTTTTCTTGTGCCCAATAATGGGCGTTGTGAAGATTAACACTTCCATTTCGGCAAAACCGAGCTTCATCAGTCCAAATTATTCTGTGCAAAAAGTCATTTTCTTGATCAGTTTTGATGAGGCCCCAATTGCAGAAGTCAACTCGCCTTTCAAAGTCCGCCTCATTTAGGTCCTGATGAAGGTAAACGTGATATGGATGGAACTTGTGCTTTCTTAAAACATTTGTGACTGTTCCGATGCTGCGACCGCACTGATCGGCAATCTGTCGGATGCTGAGCTCTGGCATCGAGGTTACGCACGCGACAACGTCGATTTCAAAGTCTTCATCGACGATTGCCTTCCTGGTCCGTCTCGGAAGGTGGACAGAGCCTGTTGTGCAGAAGCGTCGAAACAGGTTTGTGAAAGTGGGCCTTGTTGGAAGGGGACGGTGTGGGTGGCGAGACGCGTAAAGCTCCATTGCTAACGAAGCGTTGCCATTCATTTCAGCCATTGCAAGCACCACGTCTACTTTTACTTTGGTAGAATACCTCACGCCAGAAGCAGCCATATTAGCTCGAAAGGACTCCACGTGGATTTCCTTGGTAGACCTTCAATGCAGAGACGCTGTGCTCTAACCGGAGGCACCCTAGTGCAGGACGGTCCTGCTAACGCGTTCACAAGAAGATGTCTCAGTGTGATCTAAAGTCACGAAAAAACGTCGCGAAAAATGGTCTCCTGTTATCGCGTTCATCAGGATCATGCGTAAGGCTCATGGCGCACCGCGCTGTCACATTTTGATTTCGCCGGCCGAAGAGGGCAAGGGTAATTGCTATCACCTATGCCTACGCTTCCACCCTCTTCACACACTAAACACCACACGCAACAGATTCGTCACTTTAGGGAGGAGCTTTGCGCGGACCCTCACCCTCTTGCATGCGTAATCGTGCGAAAGACAATTAAACTTTGGAGCCGGATATCTCGGAACACAGGCGTGCTAGAAAAAATCTTCCAACTGAAACTGTGTACAAACACCACTGCCTACATTTTTTCAATATAAACATGCCAACTTACCGCAGCCAGTAAAAAGTTAATTATTAAATTTTAGTTAATTGGGCTGCTGACAGCGATAATTATCATCTAACTTTCTGTCCCCCTGGCCGCTTAACTTATTTGCACAAGTGGTTCTCACGTGCCTTCGAGCGCCTAATTTTAAAAAAATCATAAAGCTTAATTTTGAACACCCGGTATAATGCTACACTAAATTCCCAATGCTTCGAGTAAATAAAGCTGGCGTAATTTTTCTTCCGATTTTGTCCTATTTTTTTTTTTGACCACCAGACCGGTGTCGAAGCTACTTTTAGTTGCATTTTTTTTCCGACTAGGGAGTTTTCTGACATACATGACCTGTACTAAGCACCACGGTGGTGCAGTGGCTACGGTTCTCCTCTGTTTACCCGAAAACTGGGAGTTCTAGTGTGTTCGCGGCGGTCATATTTCAATGAATGTGAAATTCTTGAGGCAATTATATACTTTGATTCATGTGCACGTTAAAGAACCCATAATGTTCCAAATTAGTGGAGTCCTTCACGGCGGCGCGCCTCGTAACCATATCGTAGTTTCGGCACGTGTAAGGCAAGATATCATTGTGGCGATACATGTGAGGTAATAAGGCATAACTCGTTTAAGTATGTCTATTTTACGGCACTTGTTGCATGATGATAATGCATAGTGTGCCGCTCCGCGATGCTCTTGTGGTTAGGGCGCTCGACTGCTAACCCGAAACTCGCGGCAGGCACAGACCATGTTATATACAGACATTTTTTTTTCTTTTCAGACAGCGATCATCAACAGGGACACGCGCCGCCACCTGGAGATGGTGTCACTACTAAACCCCCTAAAACTAACATGCCAAGAATGACACGGTGCCTTTCAAAAAGATAGGTCCTCCTGTCGAAACGTCGGCCAGCCTGTTTGAGGCACTTCCACTGTTTACCCTGAATGTCTCATTACTGCAATGGGATCAGCGAATCGCAGGTACCAAGATGCTCTGCATTTACTGTTATCCCTAACTATTCTCAATAATTCTACTGAAACCAAACAGTGAAGAGCATTAGGGGGATTGTGCCTCCCAGTCATCTACCCTTATTTATCGAAATTCTGTCACTTTCTATTCAGAGGACTACGATGGCTGTAGATTCGCTGTAGGTTTCTTCCTATAAAAAGGTCTATGCGTCCTCACTTGTGACCACAACTGGTAATGCCCCCCTCACCAGAGCAGGATTAGCCACCCCGGTACAGCACTTGGCCACTACTTCCCACGCAAATGCAGCCATAAAAATTTTAAAGAATCCTTGCCCAGATCTGACACCCTAAAATCATACTCATTTTTCAGTGTAAAACCGCTCTTTGTATGATTTCCTTCGAGGACCAGCGAGAACTGGTTGACTGATCGCAAAAGCAGCCTTCCCAAAGAAAAATCAATGATGTTTTCAGTTACCATTACTACATTTGTCTATGAACACAACATTACTCGCATTTCACTAATTTAGTGTAAACATAATGCAATTTTTATGTGCGCAGGTGAAGAAATAAGCCAATAATGCATGTTCCGCCCCCGGACTATTCAAGGACACATACCGCATGGTCGCTGTGTGACCAAAATGCGCTCAGCAAAGATCTAAAGCACGGATTAGATTACCTACCACGACCGCCTTGTCTCGACTTGGAAAAAAGCGAGAACACCCGTGGGTTTAAGTGTAAGTGCATGTTAGAAAACTCAAGATGGTCCTAATCAACTGGGAGCCACCCAATAAGTGATATATCATTATTACGCCTTAGTCATGGCACGCAAAGCACCTGAACCGATTCATTTACACATTTATCTTGGTGGTAACTTTTCCCAAGAAAAATTTATTCTGCAGAGATAATTTAAACTCGTCACTAGTGTTTACTACTAAGTTAATTGTTGCATTGCGATCAAAGCGCATCATGATGATCCATGATATTTGATGAAGCCGTGCACAAAAGGACATAATCAGACACTTGTAAAATTGTCCCATTCCAGAGTATCTGTTTGAGCATTTTCATGTGTGCGTGATTGTGTTTCCTTTTTTTTTTCTGCATAAAACACAGCTGCAATTCAGCCTTTTCACGGACAGATGTTTACATTTAATCCAAAAGGTGACGTGAGAGTTTAGTGATGCATCATCGGTGTCAAGATCGCGGGATTACAAACGCTTTAATATATCCAGCATGCGTGACCTTCCGTGACCATAGTCACTTTCTGGTGATCCGACATTGTTGAATCGCGACTTCACTGTATTAAAGGTACACTGAAGGCAAATATTCAGTCAATGTTGATTGTTCAAATAGCAGCCCAGAAAACTCGTGGTTTTTCACCAAGGTTTAGCTTATTTTAACGCGACAGCGCTAAAGAGCTCTTTTCGCCAGAAATTCTGGGGCCAGTGTCGGCATTGCTGTCGGCAGCGGCATCGTTGGTTGTGAGCGAAAAATCATTATCTCATGCGTAACTGTAAAATCGAGAGCGATGCAAATGAAACGAATATTTAAAAAAATGCTTGGTCGGAGCAGGGATCCAACCCGGGTAGTTTTGGACAGAGTAGGCATCGAACAACCGCAAACAACATTGCCATGTTGTTTGCGTGGCAAGCGGGCGTCTGTTTGGAAATACAGAGAAACTAACTTCCTCTGCTTGTAAATGCCGTGAAAGTAACTTTCATGCTTTACAACTACACGCGTCCCATATACACGATGCACAATACAACATGTAATATCGCAGTAATAATGCTTGGTATAAGCGGGCGCCACTACATGTGATTATGATGACTTGATGGTTTAAAGTGGGCCACCCACTACAAGAGGCACGCCTGTTACTGCGCCTTTTCTTCTAAGCGCATGGTTCAAGCAAGCTCGAAAATATTTCAAGCAATGAATAGCCCGTAGTTTAAAGTATGCTACCTATTACACAGAATGCAGCCGTGTGCGAAAGAGTCGCTGACACAAGCCACGTTGAAGTCAGTATGCACTAGTGACGTGATATTGCTATCGCGTTGAACTCTTCAAAGCGAAGCTTAAGGGTCTCCCAATTTTTGAAATAAAATCACGTTCTAATGCTCCGCATCACGTTAGCACACTTCAAATCACCTGTCCGAAAGCGATCCTTCAGACGTCACTGTTACAGTGCCGAACGTTGCCCGCCGTTACTACGTGACCGCCGACAGCAGTAGTAGCAAAGCGAAAGTGGCGGGAGCCACAGTAGCAACAATGAACTTTAAACAAATTCCTGCAATTTCGGAGGCCACGGTTCTGATTGATTGTTTCTACTCGGCCCTGCTAGATGACACCACCTGTTCAGCCCAACCAGTCAAAAATGGACCCACTCGCACCCTTATCCGTAGTGACACCAGGTGATTATCTTTTCTATAAATCAAACAACAATCGACAAGCATCTTTTAATATGTCTCTCGATTCACGGAAAGTTCTTTTTTATAGCAGCTAGTTGGATTACAAGTGATTATTTCTAGTTGGACACTGACGTTATCGGGATCATTTCGCAAATGTCGTACTCGTCACGCACATCATGTGATACATTTAGTTTATTTTCATGGTAAGTAAGGTAGTGCTGTGGATAATATTGACGTTCTAGACATGGTCGTACATTGAGTTTCACCTCTGACATAAATTGTCGTTTTCCTTAAGTATCCCTTTAATACAAAATTAGTGACGGAAGGCTGCAGTTCGATTTACCACGCACACGCACAGGTATCGAAAAGCGTTCATGATTAGGAGATGCCCCGCCGTGGTGGTCTAGTGGCTAAGGTACTCGGCTGCTGACCCGCAGGCCACGGGATTGAATCCCGGCTGCGGCGGCTGCCTTTCCGATAGAGGCGGAAATGTTGTGGGCCCTTGTGATCAGATTTGTGAGCACGTTAAAGAACCCCAGGTGGTCGAAATTTCCAGAGCCCTCCACTACGGTGTCTCTCATAATCAGATGATGGTTTTGGGACGTTAAACCCTACAAATCAATCAATCAAATCATAGTTTGGAGATCAATTTCGTCGATAGATGACACACAACAGAGATAAATATTGCAGAGCTTTCACCTATGTAAACGGCTGCTTCATGTACAGACGATATGGCTACCATTGTGCGTCGTTATCTGCACGTAAGCAATAGTCTTGTGTTGTCGACTTCATCGCGATACAATGCTATCGTGGTATTGCAAACTTGTCACGCGAGCAACGAGACGGTAATAGCACGACATTTTCTGTCTCACTTCCTCGTTGGAAATATCTATAAAAGCGTTGTTCTTGCGCGCTCGCTACTCTTACGAAGGCCGTTTAAAACCAAGCGCTGTTTCTTTCGAAGCGCTTTCTTTTCTCTACTGTGTGCTCACTCATCAACTGCGACCAGAACGCTTCAACAGCGTCGTACCAATTAGCGACTTCGCAAGAGGAAAACAGGGACGCCATGGTGATCACACCAGGACCCTTCCGCACTGCTTCCAAGCTTGGCGTGTTCATAACCATGGTCGTCTTCACGGACATCTACGATCTGCCCGATGCCCTGCGAGATGACAGGACAGAAGTCGGTAAAAGAGTTGAGAATGTTTGCTTAGGTGGTTACACATTCAATTTTGATTGCTTTCTCACTCGGCACGACGAAGGGGAACTGAGATTGGACGTTAGATTGTTCCTAACTAGCGGCAAATGGGATGACTATCTTCAGTGGCCTTTTGCCAAGAACATCACGGCGATACTGACTCACACCAGAGACCGCAGAAAAGACTTCAGGATGTCGATACCATTCACTTCGGCCAATGCGACAAGGAAGCCAGCACCTGGAAAGAGTAATGGTTTTGGAGGTCGCACCGGAAGAGTGAGATGGCAGCAGGTTGAACTGAATGGATTTATTGCCGACAATGCTTTGTACTTTAATATTGAATTCGAGTGACAGTGCCTGCAAGACTGCCCTGTGTGCGCATTTCTATTACGTTTGTTCTGTTATTCTTGGTGGAATTGGAGAGGCTCTTCAGTATGTTAATTAGATTGTTTTCTCCTGCAGTAGCCGTGCAGCTGACAAACTAATAGTCCTGCGATTACTTTCAAATCTGATTCACGGTTGCTATCTGATGCAAGTATAAAGCATGTGCCTTTTGTTTGTTTGTCATCTAACTCAGTCCATATGATGCGTGCGGGATTGTTATCTTAAATGGTAACATCCGTGCCTTTCGTGATACATGTTTCCTTTACCCCATCCAGACTTTTAAATGCGAAGCATTTCTTAGCGAACTTCGGCAACTTCAGCGTGTCCGTCCGTCCGTCCGTCCGTCCGTCCGTCCGTCCGTCCATCCATCCATCCATCCATCCATCCATCCATCCATCCATCCATCCATCCATCCATCCATCCATCCATCCATCCATCCATCCATCCATCCATCCATCCATGCATCCATCCATCCATCTAACCGCCAACAACATTTAGCTATCCTGGCCGTTTTGATTATGGTATCGATACAAAACTTGGTATGACATAACGTGACTGTATGACGAGCACATTTTAATAATCATAACATGAAAATTATGACATGTATGCCATGAATGTCATGATTTACATTTCACAGTCTGCTGCTGTTGCGGTGGTTTAGTTCACACTACATGTTTCAGAAATGGTGTGGTATGACATGATTGCATGGCGAACACAAGTGACAGACTGTAATAAAAAAATAATCACATGCGTGTCATATAACAACATGACTACACGCCACGCTCATGATGCGCTTAAGGCCGTTTCGATAGCGTCACACATACCAAATTTGGTATTACGGTACATGAATGGATGACGAAGGTATGCGAGTGGTGAAAGCATGATAATCATGAAATGCATGTCATGTAACAACATGACTACATGCCACGCTCATGATGCACTGGCGGCCGTTTTGCTAGCATCACATATACCAAATATGGCATCATACTACGTGAATGGATGACGAGGGTATGCGACTGGTGCAGACATGATAACCATACGATGCGTATCATGTAACAACATGACTACAGGCTACGCTCATGTCGCACTCGCGGCCGTTTCTCTACCTTCACATGTACCACATTTGGTATTACGTGACGGTCAATGGCATGACAGAAGGTATGGATAGGTGGCAACTGATAATCATGCGATGCGTGTCATGGGGTGGAGAACATGACTACACCGCCTCAAGTCCACGGGCGCCAATACCTTTCGAAAATAAACCGGCGGTGGGTGCGTGCTGGCGTTCGTCGGTCGTGCTACGATTGGCGTGCCGACGCCAGGCGCCGGTCCCTGGTCCATATACTCGCAGGCACGTGCCGCGCCCACCGTTGCTTCGAACGCATGCGCGTTTCACAGCGCGACTGGCGTTGTCCTTGCCCTGCGAGATGACAAGACAGAAGTCGGTAAAAGAGTTGAGAATGTTTGTTTAGGTGGTTACACATTCAATTTTGATTGCTTTCTCACTCGGCACGACGAAGGGGAACTGAGATTGGACGTCAGGTTGTTCCTAACCAGCGGCAAATGGGATGACTAACTTCAGTGGCCTTTTGCCAAGAACGTCACGGTGATACTGACTCACACCAGAGACCGCAGAAAAGACTTCAGGATGTCGATACCATTGACTTCGGCCAATGCGACAAGGAAGCCAGCACCTGGAAAGAGTAATGGTTTTGGAGGTCGCACCGGAAGAGTGAGATGGCAGCAGGTTGAACTGAATGGATTTATTGCCGACAATGCTTTGTATTTTAATATTGAATTCGAGTGACAGTGCCTGCAAGACTGCCCTGTGTGCGCATTTCTATTACATTTGTTCTGTTATTCTTGGTGGAATTGGAGGGGATCTTCAGTATGTTAATTAGATTGATTTCTCCTGCAGTAGCCGTGCAGCTGACAAACTAATAGACCTGCGATTACTTTCAAATCTGATTCACTGTTGCTATCTGATGCAAGTATAAAGCATGTTCCTTTTGTTTGTTTGTCATCTAACTCAGTCCATATGATGCGTGCGTGATTGTTATCTTAAATGGTAACATCCATGCCTACCGTGATACATGTTTCCTTTACCCCATCCAGACTTTTAAATGCGAAGCATTTCTTAGCGAACTTCGG